GCGAGCAGAAGTGGGTCAGGGGGCCTCTGGGTGTCTCCTCAGACTTCCTGTCTGGTCTAGTCACCCCCTACTACTTACATTACTTCCAGCTGTGAGATATCGTCCTGCCCTCCTATCCCTTCTGTGAGAGATCTGGAAATCGCAAGGAACTGAAATACCAAGCTAAAGCTAGAACAAAGTAAAAATCTGCTTCAAGTTTGGGGCTCGTGAAATTATGCTTGGTCTCTATATTGCTGGTGCCACATTGCTCCCACAAACTGCACACATGAACACAGTGTCCCACACAGTTCCTGATCATGATAAGCTTGAATTACATGCCTATTGGCAAGTGCAAGGACAGTAAAGACCGTCAAACACCCTTCTCACTTAGTTTCTGTCTACGTTCATTCCATAGACAGAGGGGGCCTTGTGAGAAAGTTGTCTGGAGATCTTAATATATAAGAACTTGTGCCTGTATCCACAGAACCATGACTCGCCCACTCTACCCCAAGCACACACCCTGGGTCAAGACAGGTGACCTCTCATGTCTTAGAAGGGCCCATTCATAGCTGTATAGATCTCCGTCTTGTAAATATAATGAATTGAATGATCATCTTTGAAATATCGCATCCTTCCAAAGAAATGCCCCCTATTTTAAAAAATTTTAATGGGGGTGCCTGAAGGTGTAAGGCAGATTCTTTCTTTTTTTTTTGGTTTTTCGAGACAGGGTTTCTCTGTGGCTTTGGAGCCTGTCCTGGAACTAGCTCTTGTAGACCAGGCTGGTCTCGAATTCACAGGGATTCACCTGCCTCTGCCTCCCGAGTGCTGGGATTAAAGGCGTGCGCTACCATCGCCCGGCTGTAAGGCAGATTCATAATGCCTCTGGATTCTCAGCTTGTGAGGGAACATCATATATAAAGAGAATCTGGGGAACTATCCTAGACTCCTACTCTAATGTCCTTTGTTTGAGAAAATGTTATAGTCAGGTAGCCTTTAGTAAAAGAAACCCCTTCAAGCGTGTCTTCACAATCCTGAGGACCCCCAGCACCTTGCGTGTCCCAGCTCTGTCTGTCTTACCTTCCTCATTTAGCATGTATTTCATCTTCCCACCATCTGATCTGTGCTTCCCCCAAACTCAGCTTCCTGTTTCTTCTCTGAAGTACCAAGTCAGAAGTCCAATAGTCAATATTAGAAAGCTTCTGTACTGCAGTGTCCTAGGGCTCCTGGCATCTATCAGTCTTCACTGGTTGTGCTTTAAAAATCTCATCCAACATTCAAAGTAGATAGGGCCATCTAAATCCAACATTCAAAGTGGTTAGGGTCATCTAAAGCCCCTTCACTGGATCTCTTCCCATACTTGAGCAAAGAAGCCTGTTTGAAGAGACGCATGCTTTATAATAATACATCATGGAGAGTGATTGGGAGTCACAGTTTTAAGGGTTTGGGCCTCAGCCTTGGTCTGTCCTCTGAGCTCCTGAGGTGCTTGCACCTATGGAGATGCAGCTCAGGCAGATCTCACGCAGCATGAGGGGTTCCTCGGTGTATCTTCCTGACCTGCCTGCTAACAAGGTCATGGTTGTTATCAAGCTAGATTTACATCCCTGTGACAGGGGCTTGAGATGTTCAGAGTATGATGAGAAAAGGGGTTTTCTGTGTCTCGTGGGCTGAGGGAACTGAAGGTCATGGTTGGCTGTTTTACTGTGGTCCTGTGGCAAGGCAGTGCATCACGGTAGAAGCATAATACAGAGCAATACCTCTCATTTCATAGCTGGAAGAGGAAGTGGGGGAGGGTCACTGTCCCCTATCACCTCCAAGGCCACACCTCATCCATCTAAAACCTCCCATTAGATCCCACCTCTTAAAATACTCCCTCCCAGATAGGCGGTGATGGCACAGGCCTTTAATCCCAGCACTCAGGAGGCAAAAGCAGGCGAATCTCTGTGAATTCAAGGCCAGCCTGGCCTACAAGAGCTAGTTCCAAGACAGGCTCCAAAACTGCAGAGAAACGCTGTCTTGAAAAACAAAAAAAAAAATGCTACCTTTCAATGGCATCAAGTTTTTCACTAGGACTCTGACACAAGAGCTGTCAGGCAACATTTAAGATCCAAACTACAGCATAGACACAGTCAGTCACGAGCCTGTGGTTATCTAGGCCAGCAGCAGTTCTGAAGGCTGCCTGATGCTGTCATTACTGGAGGGTGGTCGCAGGCCAGCAACACAGCTCACTTGAGCGCCCGTGAGAAGCTCAGAATCCTGGAACCCTCACTCCAAACACCTGAATGAGAAGATGATTTTTTTAAGTCCCCGAGGAATTTATATGCAAATTAAAATCTGGAAAGCACTTCCTCTCTAGTACAAACTTGACAAAATCTGTTTTCTCATTTGATGAGGCGGTATTATCATAAGGACCCCCATTTTACATGGATTGCCCCTTTTTCTTTCTTCCTTTTGGGCTGTTATATATTCTACCCATGAGAACAACATTGCTGACAGTGAAAATCTACCCTTGCATTCCAGAGGGTGTTTAGGAATCCCCCACCCCCCACAGTGGCCAGTTTGCCTTGCTCACACAGAGGTCTGTGGCTTCCATGTCACGTGAAGCCATCCTCCAGTATAGACATCAGTGCTCCTAAGCTGACTGGCATTCTTGAGCCTGACCGGAACCTTTCCTGGGCATCTTCCCAGTGTCTACCCTGAGATGGGGCTTTTTTTTTTTTATTTTCCTCACAGAAGAAAACACTGGCCCTGCTTGAGGCTCCTGCCAGGGTCATGGTAGGTATCTCTGTATTGTTAAATGCACTGTGGGATAGTTACATGGTGGCAGGTATTCTGTAGTACATGCTTTTAAAGAATAATGGGCTCTTACCAAAGATAGCTAAACTTCCCATTCTTCCATATTTATTCATTGCAAAAAAATCCAAAGTTATTTATTGCAAAAAAAAAAAAAATCCAAAGTGAGACTGGAGACTGAAGGTTCATTTGGGTGTGTTTGATTTCATTATTGTTTTACTCTTTAAAAAAATCTCCCAGGGGTCAGTCAACCCAGTTTCAATAGAGGAAATGCCATTTATCTTTGTTAAACTCTCAAACAAAGAGAAATCGGAATTCTGCGGATTAAGAAAACAAGAGACGGTGCTTATGTACGTCCCCCCCCCCCCCCATTGAACCTTGAGTAGTCAGGCCATGATCCAGTCTGACAACTGCGAGGTAGAGGACTTTCACCAACCATGCCATCCTAGCGTTCCAGCAAATGGGGGTCCCATGCCTTGTTTGGGAGACCCCACATTTCCCTCCATCTTTTTCAACAGTTCTCCAATCTTCTTTTGTGCCTTGGGATGAATTTTCAGAGTAATACCATTGCAGATTGGTACTGGAGTGCAGGGATGAGAGTGTAGAGACCACCATTCCAGACACTCATATACCTATTGATTAATCTCCACACTGGTTCAGATGGATTTGCTAACTGCTAACTCATGCCTGTGAGGTTGCCCTGAGGTCTGTTAGCCAATGTGAAATTTCCGCAGAATCACAAGGAATGGAACTGAGTTGGGGAAACTCAATTTCTATAGATAAGGGTCCTGGGAAAAAATGGTCGTCTAAGGCATCATACTTTCTAGAGATGGCTTTAATTTAGACAGCATCTAGGACTAATATTATATTCTAGCTGGAGAACGGAGTCGGGGAAGGCAACAAGTGTCAAAAAGCAATGGGATATGGACAGCAGAAGTGGTAGAAGGTCCCTGAAGCCTAGACCTAGAACAGTTAGGGTGTGAAGTCACTGGAATCCACTCCCCTCCTCCCCACACACCTCAGTACTCCTCATAGATATAATACTTCCCTGCCCCACAGCCACGACGGACACAGATTTGGTTGAGCAAGTATATGCCTCTGTTTCTTGAGCTTTTGTTGTCTGGCTTAAGTCTCAGGAGTGCAGAAGATCAGGCAGCAGGTCTGCGAGACAGGAAAATGATTCTGCCTTTTGGCCTTCACACTTCTTGAGTTTTCAGGGGAATATAGCATTTCAGCAGAACTCAGAGAAAGCAAGCTTGTTCCATTTGCGATGAACAAGATGAGGGGCAAAGGGAAGGGTCCAGGCTGCAGCTGGAGCATGCATTAACAAAATAAAGTGAAGCAATTTTTTCAGGCTTCAGATATTTTGGATATGAAACTACTAGCCTCCTCAGTGTGTAAGAGTTAATCTTTCAGGATGACCCACAGCACCAGATGTGGAATCATCGGGGTGTTCTAGCAACCTCAGGTTCATTGCTTACTATGTTTATTTTGACAAGTTTTCAAGCATTTTCTACATCTGTACAAAGTAACTCATTCATCAATTCCCTAGTCTACTCCACAGTAGTTTAAATTTTTAAATTTTAAAGTGACAACTAAAATTGTATTTATTTATCATGTACAGCGTAATATTTTTAAAAATATATATGCACATTGTGGAATGGCTCAATGGAGCTGGTTATTTATTATCTGTCTCAGGTTGAAAGTGAACCAGCAATTGTGAATTTATTTGTATTAAAATGTGAAATACATTGCATCTAACTTTTTCTACAAGGAATTAGTAATTCTTTACTACAAAGAATTAGCTTATATTTTATATACAAAGGCATTTCTGTACAATGAAAAAAGTATTATTTAGAAAAATCTAAAATTACTTGCAGGGTTTTATTATATTACTGATCATGACATACCTGTTTAAGTAGTCAAGCTTTATTAATGTACTGGGGAATTTATAATATACTCTCTTAATTAACTTATAATAATCATTGAAAAAATATTGATAGTCCATTATTAT